ATTTAATCGCAAAAATGGTTTTAAAGAACAATCTAGAAAAAACTTTAAGAGTCTTGGAATCTAGAATTGAGGAATTAGAGCAAAATGACGAAGGGTTACGTTCACAATTCAAATTTTTAGAAGAAAAGGTAGAAGAATCCAAAGAGACTATATGTAATTTAGAGAAAAAGAATAGAGAGCGAGAAGAAGAAGCCAAAGTCAAGCAAGAAACTATTAGTAATTTAGAAGAAAAAGTTAGAGAACGAGAAGAAGTAAGCAAGGCCAATCAAGAAATTATTAATGAAATGGAAGGAAGGATCAAAAATCTAGAATCAATTATTTATGATGATACGATTGATAGTTTTACTATTACAGATACTAATAAGGAAATATTAAACATCTCAGGTGGATTGCAAAAATATCGAAAATTGACAAAGCTCTATTGTAATGATTCTCAAATAACCAGCTTGCCAACTTTACCTAATTCCTTAAAAGAACTCAATTGCCAAGGTTCTCAAATAACCAGCTTGCCAACTCTACCTAACTCCTTAACAATTCTCCGATGTGACAATACTAAGATGACCACCTTACCAACTTTACCTAATTCCTTAAAAAAACTCTATTGCCAAGATTCTCAAATAACCAGCTTGCCAACCCTATCTAACTCCTTAACAATACTCAGATGTGACAATACTAAGATGACCACCTTACCAACTTTACCTAATTCCTTAAAAGAATTCTATTGTCAAGGTTCTCAAATAACCAGCTTGCCAACTCTATCTAACTTCTTAACAATTCTCCGATGTGACAATACCAAAATAACCACCTTACCAACTTTACCTAACTCCTTAACAATTCTTCGATGTGACAATACTAAAATAACCACCATACCTATTTTATCTAGCTCTCTATCAATTCTTCGATGTTTTAATTCTAATATAGCACAATTACCAATTTTACCTAACTCCTTAACAATTCTCAGCTTTGGTAATACTAAAATAGCAATGTTACCAACTTTACCAAACTCCTTAACCGAACTTTATTGCCATAAAACTCAAATAACCACCTTACCAATTTTACCTAACTCCTTAACGAAACTCTATTGCTATGAAACTCAAATAACCACCTTACCAACTTTACCTAATTCCTTATCAATTCTTAAATGTTATAATACTAATATAACACAATTACCAACTTTA